CTTCAGTTTTAAGGCAAACAGGATGGTCAGACATGAAATTTGTGAGCTGAACAGCAGCCAACCACACCAATCAAAAACGTAGCTCTAATTTTCCTAAACATATAGGAAATATTTTTATTTTTTTATTTATAAGACACATCACTATTAAAAAGTTTGTGGCCAGTAAGATTTAATGTTTAATATTTTTCAACAATGTCTCTTATGCTCACCAAGGCTGCATTTATTTGGATCAAAAATATAGTAAAAATTGTGTATATTGTGAACTGTTATTACCATTTAAAAATTTTTTTTTTTAATTTTAATATAGAAAACCTTTACATTTATTAGAATACAATATGTCAAGTCAAGTCAAGTCAAGTCACCTTTATTTATATAGCGCTTTTAACAATACAGATTGTGTCAAAGCAACTGAACAGCATTAATTAGGAAAATAGTGTCAATAATGCAAAATGACAATAGCAAACACAAATTTTTCAGTTAAAGACAGTTCATCATTGAATTCAGTGATGTCAACATCCAGCTCAGTTTAAATAGTATCTTTGCAATCAAGTCAACGGTATCGCTGGAAATGAAGTGTCCCCAACTAAGCAAGCCAGAGGCGACAGCGGCAAGGATATGTCATTTATTCCTGAATTTTCAGCAGCTATTACTTCACATTACAGTGTCACATGATCCTTCGGAAACTATTCTAATATGCTGATTTGATAACATTTCTTCTTATTATTAATGTTGGAAACCGTTGTGCTGCTTACCCTCATCATTGAGTGACTCCATGGACATGGTTCTGCTCCTGAAGTTGAGTGAGTCTGTGGATTGAGACAAGATCCTGCGCAGCCCCAGAGGAGAGTCATCATTTAGAGTCCTATACGCACATGCACACACACACGGACCATGTGCATGCATACAAACAGATGTATACATATGCATGCAATCACATGCAAAAGACAAAAAAAGCAAAACAAAAAAACAACAAAATGAGAGGCAGGCATCATAATCACCACAGAAACAAAAAAATACACATAACAAATTTAAAATAAAAATATATTAAATGAATTCAAATCAAGTGAACATAATGACTAATATATAACATTCAAACAAAACTGCTTACATTAAACTAAAACAGCCACAAACACACACACATACAAAAAAAAAAAAAAAAGATTAAAAAAAATACACA